GTTGGTTAAGAGCTCGCTCAAGAGTTTGAGCTCTGAGCAACAGCAGTTCAATTCCTGGCCTGAGCTAAACAGCTGCTGAGCTGCCAACAGGTGGCAGGATGGCTCAGCTTAAAAAAAAAAAAATAGTTGAAAAACCAGGCCTTTAAAAAAGTTAAATGTCTTGACCAGTATGCACCACAAATAAGCATTTCAATAAGGATGGACCTATGTGTGTTTGACACAAAAGCTCTTTTTTCCCTGTTTTCCATGCTGCTCTACTTCCTATCCCTATGAAATATGAGATGAGATTCAAAAGTGAGATGAATATAGAATTTTATCAACAAGCCCAAGAACTAAGAAATAGTCATTTGAATCTTAAAGGATATAGTTTTAGAAAAAAACGTAACTGCTAGCTACTTTTATGACAAATATATGTTACTCAAATTTATACTTTTGGCCAGGGGTGGGGGAGTAGTAGACTTTCATAATCCCTTTCAATGTGAAGTTTAATGATTCTTTGTCTCCTTGAGAGATTACATAAACTTAAAATGTAAGTAGGTGAGAGAAAGATTGATACCAATTAGTGGATTAACATGAGGAAGTTTAGCATTTTATGCCTGTCACAAAGAATGCTAGCAGTAATTGCCCTTTGCATCCGCCATCACCACTGCTTACGGTGGAAAACTGCTCTGAGTAAGACATTAGACATATGTTGTGACAGCTTTTACTTCATTGACCAGGGATTGATGAATTAAAAGAGTAAAGCTGTCAGCATTTCAGGCCTATGAAGCCATCGACATAGGACCTCCTGTGTGCTCGGTCAGCATCTGGCAGTTGTATTGCAGTATTATGAAACAGATATATGGATAATGAAAAAAATGAATTCTCTAACTCTTAAAAAAATGTGTTTAAGACCTTCTGTGTTCCAGCAACCAGTGATCTTTTTGGGAGCAGATGTCACTCACCCACCGGCTGGTGATGGGAAGAAGCCTTCTATTGCTGCTGTGAGTGTCATTAGCCAGGTTTATCTTATGTAAAGTTTGGACGAAGATCAATATTTTGGTTTCAGCTTTTTGAATTTTAATGATATTTTCTTTGAAACCAACTTTTATAAATATATATAGAAAGAGCCAACTTTCAAATGTTCTTCATGTTTTTGAAAAGAATGATTCTGCCTCTGGTTTGGGGGCTACAAGTTCCATATATATCTATTAAATCAAGTTTATTGTATTGCTCAAATCTTCTGTTTCTGACTTGAATTTGTCTATTTGACCTATCCATGATTGTATATGTTCAGTTACTTTTTGTAATTCAAAGAGTTTGTTCATGTATTTCAATAGTGTCTTTGATACAGAAAGATGCATTACATGTAAACTTGGTGGATTGTATTTTTTTTAATTTACTTTTTTTAATATTAGTTTCAGGTGTACAAACAACATAATGATTAGACATTTACACCCCTCACAAGGTGATAACCCCTTCCCCCAAGTCTACTACCCCTCTGACACCATATATAGCTGTTCTAATACCATTGACTATATTCCCTAGGCTGTACTTTACATCCTGTGACCATATATATATTTTTTTTTCTATAAGATGTACAGCACAGTGGGCAGGCATCTACACAATCTATGAAGTGATCCCCCTGATAAGTCCAGTACCCATGTGGCACCCTACATAATCTTTACAACATTATTGCTTTTATTTCATTATAAAATATCTTCCACCTTCATCCAATTTAGTACTTTGCGCCTGCATTCTTTGTTTTACTACTGTCACTTCCACTTAAACATCTGCCTATTATATCTTTACCCACCTCTATATCTGTAACTTTTCTGTCAGTTCTTTTAAATATATTTCTTATAAATTACAGAAAGCCAGATAATCTTTTATTACCCAATTTGAAAGTTGCTTGATCTTAACAGCTGCCAACGTTTTGAAAATGTCAACATATTTTAGGCATACTTGATAAATTTCAGAAATTAAACTATTTTTTATATTTAATATAGTTTTATATTTAATATATTTAATATATTTAATATTTTTATTTTTAATGTATTTTTTCTATCCATTATAATAATCTTTACATAAATTGTAAGTTTTAACAATCTGATAAATTTTATTTATTCTTAAAAATGATAGTAACATTAAAATTTTCATGTATGATTCCAAAACTATTTTCATTAGTGAAGAAAATTGACTTTTATCTACTAATAAATTATATTGCTTTGTATCCTTATAGTTATTTTTCAGAAATTGTTTACATATCAAGTGTCCTAGAAGTAGTATTGAGCCATCTCTGATAGTCATAAAAATGTTCTTATAGAAGATAAAATGATAAAAGAAAGAAAGAAAGGAAAGGAAGGAAGGAAGGAAGGTAGGAAGAAAAGAAAGAAAGAAATTCAAAAAACTTACTTTGGATTTGCTATTTTGGGATCATTTTTCCAAAAAAGTTTAAGCATATTTGAATTCTTTTAGACTTGTGGGTAGTCATTACCCTTTCCTACTAATTTATTTAAACCAAATATCCACTTTTATGATTATCAGAGGTCTTGTAAATAGATTTTATTAATTGATTATTTTTGCTATATGACTTCTGCTCCCAAGAACTTAAAGACTAGTGTGAAAAACAAATGTAAGTAATAAATGCCACATAGTATAATAGATATTACCTTAACAGTGATACAATTTAAATTTAGATTGTAAAAACCTGGTGTGTTTGGAGAAATTCAGGGAATTGAAGTGTAGCATAACGGGTTGTGAGTCTAGTAAGCTTTTGTGAGTCTTTTTGTGTCATCAGAATGGATATGGATTTATTTTTTAGTAGTGAGACACCATTCAAGGGAAAGATGGTCAGAGTTCATTTTTTTACATATGGAAAATAAAGAAAAAACAAATACAACCCCATGTATATAATAAGTAGGCAAGTTCTAGCTCATTTTGTAAAAACTCGTGATTATTTTGTAGTCAGACTAAGACAAAAGACCATATTTTGGTTTCAAATAAGTAAGACATTTCAATTACTAACAGGAAGTTAGATACTCTTTTGAAGTACTGTATATATGTATATATTTTGTATATATGTATATATTTATAACTGAGGTATAATTAATATATAACATATTAGTTTCAGGTGTAAACATAATTCAATATTTGCATATGTTGAGAAATGATTACCACAGTAAGTCTAGTTAACACCTGTCACCATACATAGTTACAAATCTTTTTTCTTGTGATAAGAACTTTGAAGATTCACTGTCTTAGCAACTTCCAAATATGCAATACAGTATTATTAACTATAGTCACCATGCTGTACAGTACATCCCCATGACTTGTTTATTTTAATAACTAAAAGTTTGTGTATACCTTTTGACCCCTTCACCCATTTCACCCACTACCCACCACCGCCTCTGCCAGCCACCAGTCTGTTCTCTGTGTCTAGCGTATAAGCTCATTTGTTTTTGTTTTGTTCTGTTTTTGGATTCCACATATAAGGAGATCATACGGTATTTGTCTTTTGTGAAATAAGTCAGACAGAAAAAGACAAATACCGTATGATCTCACTTGTATGTAGAACTTAAAAAAAACAGAACAAATGAACAAACAAAAGAAAACAAAAACTCATAGATACAGGGAACAGATACAGAGGGGAAGGTTATTGGGGAAAAGAAAATGGGTAAGGGGGATCAATTGTATGGTGATGGACAGTAATTTGACTTATAGTGGTAACCACTACGTAGTATATACAGATATTGAATTAAAATGTTTTACACTGAAATATATGTAATGTTGTATACCACTTTTACCACAATAAAAAAAAGGGGTTTTTTTAAATAGCTGAATAATCCTCCACTGTACATGTATATATGCCACACTTTCTTTATCCATTCACCCATCAAAGGACACTTAGTTAGGTTGTTTCCATGTCTTGGCTACTGTAAATAATGCTGCAGTGAACATGGGGGTGTAAAGTTCCATTTTTGAAGCATGACTGATATATAAATACTACCCAGGAAGAAACAGAAGCTGAAGGCAGAGTGACTAGCTGGTTCTCAGCCTAGGCTCTGATCAGAGTGATGTGTAGACATTTTACAAGTATTCAGATCCCAGAGATATGCTTCAGTAGGTCTGTAAGTGACTATAGTCAAGGTGAACTTATAAGTTCATGCTTCAGAGTTCTCTCTGCTTGAAACACTTAACAATATTCAACAAGACACGGAAAGAGAAAATTAAGATAGCTACTCTCAAAACCATGATTAACTTCTCTAAGGACCAGATACAAAACACAAATACAACACAGTAAGACTTGACAATGGATTCAAGCTTTCTGATCTAGGACATTACAGTAAGAGAAGAAAAATTCTTTTGAAATTTATGAAGTTTAACAGTTCTAAAATGATGCCAAAGTCTTAAGTATGGCTTCAGGGTGGTTTGCTAAAGTGTGAAAGATATAAAGAGAAATCACGGGTTTGAATGGGTCCTCTTTTTCGCTTATCTCCTTTCACCTATTCTCTTTATGTACATCTTTTTGTCTCTTTTCTTTCTTACAAATCTTTAGGCCTACCAGAACATCGATAAAATGTTAAATGTAAAGTGCAGCCTACTTATAGGAAAATAGTTTTTGACCCTGTGTTAGGTCTTTTATTCTGTTCTTTGCTGGGAATTATTGATTACTCTCAAAATGCTCTCAAAGTGGTAAATAGTAAGGTTTCAGTAAAATACAAATTTAAATGAAATCCACGTACCTTTTTCAAATTGTTCAATTGCGGTAAATTCATATTCATATAGCTTTGATTATCTTAATTTCTATTTACTTTTCCAACTTAGGTTGTGGGTAGTATGGATGCCCACCCAAGCAGATACTGTGCCACAGTAAGAGTTCAGAGACCCCGACAGGAGATCATCCAGGACTTGGCCTCCATGGTCCGAGAGCTTCTCATTCAATTTTATAAGTCAACTCGGTTCAAACCTACTCGTATCATCTTTTACCGGGATGGAGTTTCAGAGGGACAGTTTAGGCAGGTTGGTTGCCTTGGATGTCATCATACTGTGGTTAAATCAGATATTGTGTTTATAATATGGTGTCTAGTTTAGAAATTAGAAGCCTTAATTAAATTTCGAGTTCCTAAAGTTAAACTAGACACTTCCTTCGATTTTTCCTTTTAAAGGGTTTACTATGGGTATGTAAGCCTTGACTGCTGAGATCATGCTCTGATAATAGTTAAGATGGAATAGAGAGTATATTTAGCTGTAAAGTGATGAGATTAAGAAATACTGAGACTAAATAATTATCTTACTTTGAAGTATGTATAAGAGAACAACTGACTATATCAAAGCTTTCTATTTCATCTTCTCTAGGTATTATATTATGAACTACTAGCAATTCGAGAAGCCTGCATCAGTTTGGAGAAAGACTATCAACCTGGAATAACCTACATCGTAGTTCAGAAGAGACATCACACTCGATTATTTTGTGCTGATAGGACAGAAAGGGTAATCTTACATCTGTTGCCAAGCTTATCTAACATATTTCATAGAGTACTTAACAAAGGCTTTCTGCCAACAGCAGAGTTTCTAATATATAGTAGCAGATTTCAACAAAGCAGATTATGAGTATAGAAGCCTCAAGATAGGTTAATGGTTACTTTTTAACTTTCTGGAATTTCTAGTAACACTCCAAATGTTCAAAATCCTATTAATGCTTTTTGTTGTTGCGAAGAAACTCATAATTTTAAAATTGTTCTTTCTATTCATATTTTCCTTCAATGTTCAGAAGAAAAAAGGTACACTTTTTTAAATATTGCGTAAAAATTAGTTTTTTTAAAAGCTAGTGACTTTCTAGAGTGATTAGTGGGAATTCATGCAAACTAACTTTTAAACAATGCTTCCTTTAACATTCACAGAATCATTTTCTGTACTTTATAATGTGAATATGTATTTTTATAATTAGGAGAGGGAAGGAGGTATGAATACCTAGGGAAATATGTCTTCTTGTCTGTGTGCAACATAGGCAAGTAGCAGTCTTGCTATCATTTCCAGTGCTCTGCCCCTCATCCTGCAAACCTTGGAGCAGAAAAACCTGAGGATTTCAAGTGTCAGTGTCCCCTTGGGATGGGGGTTCAATAGAAAAGACTGAGAGACTACAGGAGTGTCTTTTCTTTGGTGTGTATTTGGTCTTTGGTTACACTCACTGTGTAACTTAGGGCAAGTAACTTAACATCTCTGTGCCTTTTTCTCAGCAAGGTTAGGATAATATTAATATTAACCGTATTTGGGTGGTTGAGAGGATTAAATAAATTAAAATATGTAATGCACTTAGAATTATGCTTGGCATATACTCAGTACTCAATAAAGGTTAGCTAGTTGTAGCATGATGGTGATGTTGGTAATAATAAGGAAAAAGAAATAGTAGCAGTAGGCATCGTTCTGGGTATTTTTTATAAATTGAATTCATTTGATCTTTGAAAACAACACTCTGAGGCACTTACTATTATTATCCCCCATTTTCCACAGAAGGAACTGGGGCACATGGAGGTTAAATGACCTCCCATGGTTACACAGCTAGTAATTGACAGAGCTAGGACTCAGATCAGGCAAGCTGGCTCAGCGTGCTCCTCATTGTCCTCTACCACCTCTCTGATAACAGTAGTGACAGTTTTATTATGAGTTCCAGGTTACTAAAGACTTTTGACCCTAAATTACTAGGTACATTTCAGCACCTAGAAAACTAAAGGTTTCTTCACAAGTAGGATTAGAAAAACCTCAGGTAGATTTAAGGATTACTGGCATCTGCTGTTTAGTCATGCCAGTTTTCCATTCGTTTGCTTCCCTTTCCGCTTTGCTCTAAATATTACTACTAATAATAGATTAGAGATCATTATAAACAAGGAAACAGAAGCACAGACAGGTAAAATACCTTCGCTCACACAGCTAGACACTGCGATGTGAACCCAGGCATTCTGCTACCTGTCTACATGGAATAAAACTTTTTATATGTATTCGTTAGACTTGTGTGTTCCTAATAGGTATCATTTAGTAGATTGTGAGCTGTTTTCTTTGTTTTGTGCTCGGTGAAAGCTAGCTGGTTGGTGTACACAGCTGTAACTCAAACCACTCCCCGATAACAGTCCCTCACGTGGCAGAAATAAGCCTGAGTCAGTAAGACAGTTTCTGATTTGCTCACCTTGTAAATCTAGACTTACAGTTAATGATTTTAAATGTGTTAGGGATCAGGAGGTGGAGGGGAGTATAAAGCTGTGTTTAAGGTGTTTTATTAGGAGTCTTTCATTATTTTGACCCATTTCATTCACGTATCTACCCAGAGAAAATCATGGTGTCTGTTTCCTTACAAGATGTTGAAACTGCTAGTGTGAAATAAAAAGAATAGGGTCTTTGCAGTCAATTCTGTGTTTAATTCTCAGTTCTGGCCTTGACTGTATGCTAGTGGGCAAATTATGTTATATTCCTCAGCCTTAGTTTCCCCCAAACAAATCAGAATAATACCTAACTTGCAGAATTTTCAGGATTAGAAATACATTTAATGTATTTCATAAATGGTTACACATAAATAGTTAAAAAATGGTCACTATTGTTGATGTTGTCCACATTCTTTCTAAAAACGGATTGTTCTCTAAGGAAAATGCTAATTTTCATAAAATACACAATCCAGAGTATCTGCTGTGTATGGGTTCCACAAATTAGAGCACTTAAAATAACTTGAAAAAGTTTTTAAGTCTCCCACCCATATTGGTATCACCTACCAGTGAAGCATCAGTAGAGGCGAAGAACTCTGCGGTTTATCGTTTTCACTCTCAGCAACATTTAAGAATAGGAATCAGGACTAGAATAAGGCCTGCTCAAGTAATATTTCAAGCTGCAAGTAGTGAATCATGGGATCAGCCCATATATTTATACATTTTTTAAAGTGCTTTCCGTCACATTCTTTATATTTGTCTTGTTTGTTTAAACAAAATTTGTTTGACCAAACAAATCCAGGTCGGAAGAAGTGGCAATATCCCAGCTGGAACAACAGTTGATACGGACATTACACACCCCTATGAGTTTGATTTTTACCTCTGTAGCCATGCCGGAATACAGGTAAGCCTACACTTTGGGTGAAATGTTTTAATTCAGGAACTTCCATTGACATGTATATTTTTTTAAACTCAGAAAAAGGAGAAAGAAACAACCCTCTCCGCACTCCCAATTGTTTCCACATGAAATTAGATGACACTTTCTTACCTTGAGAGGGGCTTATTCCTATGAAAATACCAGAATATAAATAGTTTCATAGAATAAATCTCCCTAAATTGGGTCCTTAACCTAAAACTTCAAAAAACTTTAAAATACCCGATTGTTCCTTTGACATATGTTTCTTTTTGATAATAGCACTTCATGGAAAACTTTGACATTTACTGGCAGATATTAAGCATGTGAAACAGTTTAAGTGTAGAATTACAGCTTTAAGTTTCAGTTACAAAATTTTAAGTCTATTCTTTTCAGAAAATCTTTTTGTTAATTTGTTAGCTAATATAGTTATTAGAATATAAGCTTTAATTGAGTGCGTCATAAACTTTCCAGCAGCAGGACAGAGTGAATCTGCATTCCTAAGATGTCTGAGAGAGTGGAGCCCAAAACTGTTTTAGGCTACTTGCCATTGAATAGAATAGAAATTTTAGGAAGATGTACTTTACTGTAGAGCTGCATCTTAAAGCTTCATTTACATGCATCTCAATAACCCCAATTTCACTCTTACAACTTCTAAAATTATTGTCCCACTCATTTCTCTATGTTCTATATCTGCTTCTCTTTACCATCAATGTTAGATTTCATGGAGGGTAGTCAGTTAGCAAAACAAAGTTAAAAGGACCTTCTGGAGATAAAATCTGTATCATTGAAGTATATATTTTATACCTAGTGTTTCTCTCCATGTATTTATTCCAAGGAGCACTACTGTGACTTTTACATAAATATTGCGGAGGAGTGAAAGAGATTATCTATTCAAATAAATTTTGGAAATGCTGGTTAAACAGATTTTTTTTTTTTTACTCTAAAACTTTTGGCTATGCAAATGGCCATTTTGAATCTTAAAGACAGGACTGTTTCCCCAATGTAGTTAACCAAAAACTTTGTCTTTATAGCCCAATTTTTGATGTTTTTATTTATATATTATCTGTCTCATCTCTGGAGTGTGTGTCTTATTCATTACTGTGTACCTGGCACCTGATACAGGATATGGCATATAGTGAGTGTTCAGTAAATACTGAATGTATGTGAGTGTACACTATATGATATATGCATTATAAACATATCATTTGAGGGAGGTAGATATGGTAATAATTTGAATTTCATTCCCCCAGCCTTGTACAGTGTCTGTCTGACAAATGATATTCAAATATTTGTTAAAGTATCAGTTAATCTTTCTCCTGTGCCACTGCCGTTTCCTTAGTTCATACCCTCATCTCACACCTGAACTAATGCGGCAGCCTCCTAACTGCTCCCTTTGCCTTCAGTTTCTTCCTGCTTCTAATCCATCCTCCATATTATTGCTGATGTTACTTTTATAAAACCCCAATCTCATTGCACCTAAAAACGCTCTTGTTTAAAAAAAAAAAAAAACCTGTGCATTGCTCTCCCTGCCGCCTACAGGTGAAAGTCCAAATTCCTAAGCATGTCCTTCAGTCTGATTCCAAACTTTCTTTTCGACTTCATCTTTCCCCCCTCATGTACCATACTCTGTTCATACTAGTCTATTATCTGTTCCCCAGGTACACCGTGAAATGTTATGCTCCCTGTGCTTTTGTTAAGGTGGTTCATTCTCTCTCGTGTCTCCTCACCCTAACCTCCCCCAAAAGGCCAAATCCCACTCATTCCCCACTTGGCAAAGAGCCAAGGCTTCCCCCACAGCTACATCCTTGGGTATTTTCATATCGGACCAAGCGCCAATAGTAGTATAGCCATTTATTAGTTGTTTTATAATTGTAAACGGTCTGTTTACTCCTCTACAAACTGTGTTTTCCAAAAGACAGGAAACCTTTGACTTTGTTTTTCTTTAACTCCATAGTACCTAACACAGTAAGTAACACATAGGAGCTCAAGTAAATGTTCTGGTGTGTTTATTAATGTAAAATGTATGTAACATACAACTTAGCATTTTCACCATTTTTAAGTGTACCGATCCATCACATTAAGTATATTCACATGGTTGTGCAGCCATACCACCATTTATCTTCAGAACTTTTTCATCTTCCCTGATATTCTGTATCTATTAAACACTAACCCTTCATTCCCCCTTTCCCCAGGCCCTGGCAACCTCCATTCTACTTTCTGTCTCTATCTGACTATTCCAGGTGCCTTAAATAAGTGAATCATATAATATTTGTCCTTTTGTAACTGATTTATTTCAGTTAGCATGTCGTCAGGGTTTATCCATGTCATGGTATGTATCAGACATTTCTCCCTTTTTAAGGCTGAATAATATTCCATTGTATGGATAGACCACATATTGTTTATCCATTGATCCATCAATGGATATTCGGGTTGCTTCCACTTTTGGCTATTGTAAATAACGCTGCTTTGAACATAGGTGTGCAAATATCTGTTCACTTCTTTTGGATATATGCCCAGAATCAACTAGATTTTTTTTAATTGATTGTTAAATTAGAATATGTTTTACTAATGTACAAAGCTGGCCTTTTATATAACTTAGTCTGTGCTGAATATTTATTTAAAAGTTTAGAAATCAACAGAATGTGTCATTGCCTTCTCTAGGGTACCAGCCGTCCTTCACACTATCATGTTTTATGGGATGATAACTGCTTTAATGCAGATGAACTTCAGCTGCTAACTTACCAGCTCTGCCACACTTACGTGCGCTGTACACGATCTGTTTCTATACCTGCACCAGCGTATTATGCTCACCTGGTGGCATTCAGAGCCAGATATCATCTTGTAGACAAAGAACATGACAGGTAATATAAAAGCATAACAAATACAGACTCTGATCCAAATCCAAGTATGGCCTACATGTTAGGATTTTCTTGGGAAATTTCTTTTAAGTATTTCCATGTCCGCCTGTGCCTCTCTGTTTGCCATAAAGTACTGCCATTTAGAATTAAAGTTCTACAAGCTATTAGAGGAGTCAGTGATCCATATGAAAAGCAATGATAGAACCAAATGCCCAAGATAAGGGTTCCCATTAAAAAATGCAGTCTAGGCTTATTAGTAATAGAATGATATCGTGGTTTAGTTGCTTTACCAAGTTAACTCAAGGGAGAGATTATTGATAATAAAAGTGATATATACTGACAAAATTATAGGATGTCTGGGATTTGCTTCTAAATAATCCTGGGCAGGTGAGAGAAGTTAAATTGGCCTTGAATTAATTATTGAAGCTGGGTGATAGACATATAGGAATTCATTATACCAGCTTCTTTTTTTTTTTAATGTTATTGGGGAACAGCCATGGTCATTGGTTACACATTGCTTTCATGCTGCAATGGCATACTTGACTCTTTCAGTGAGGGCGCAGCTCACAGTGGCTCATGCGGGGATTTAACTGGCGACCTTGCTGTTATCAGCACCACGCTCCAACCAACTGAGCTAACCAGTCACCCTAAAATATTCTCCTAGTTTTCTACAACAAATAATGTTTTCCAGAATTATTACATCAGAATAGGGTTTGTTTTGTGTTCACTGCCAATTCTCTTACAGTGCTGAAGGAAGTCACGTTTCAGGACAGAGCAATGGGCGCGATCCACAAGCTCTTGCCAAGGCTGTACAGATTCACCAAGATACCTTACGCACAATGTACTTCGCTTAAAAAGTCCAAGGATATTTTCAGAGAGGAAGAACTGAAAGATGAATCTACATACAACGTACGTTTCCAGTGGAGTCAGTTGAGTGGGGATGCCTGCAGCCATATGGAAACCAACACTGTGGGGACCAGGGTCTGATTTTTTTGTTGATACTAGGAAGATTGTTTACTTCATCAAGAAACACAGCACCATTATGCAATATGAAACCAGCCAACTGCTTTTTTGTGCACTCTCCTGTAGGAAGTGTCACCATTTTTTTGTTTCCACCGTTCTTGTAGTCTAACCCTTTTAATGCCTTTACCTCAAGTTGCTTGGCAGCACAAATATCTTTGCAAAAAAAAAAAAAAGTAAAGAAAAGGTAAATGATGGTTTAAAAAAAACACGCCTACATGAATAATCAGTGATTGTTCACAATTATGTGTGCAAAAAAATTAATGTGCATTCACATATTCTTGTAGAAGGTATCTGTGTATATTTTAAACATATACATGTATACTTCATATGCATATATATCTGGATCTACACTGATAATAGATATATATGTTCTTCGTGTATATTTTATAGTTCATTCCATTGGGGAACTTCCTCTCCCTTTTATTATCCTCCCACCACCACTTTTATTTCTCTCTCTACCTCCCTTGCCTTTATCACGTATATTTTTTTCCCTAATGCTACCAGTGACATTCAAATGTTCATGTATCTGGTTCATTTGAATATGAAGCATGACAAACTGGACTTTCATTTTGCACACCCACTCCTGTCTCATGTCTCATACACAATTCTGAGTCCTCAATTCTTGATATTGCTTACTAAGAAACAAAGTTATTTTATATGTGTGTGTGTGTGTGTGTGTATACACACACATACACATATACACACACGTGTGTGTGTTTTTGTGAGAGTTTATGTCTGCCCCCTCCTGCTCTGAACTTACATTTGCCATCTGTGCAATGTGTACATAAGTGGTAGCAACCTGAACTATTCTTTTTCTTTAGTGAGTTTGTTAAAGCTGCTATAAATATAAAACCTGTCAGACGTTTAACTCTTTCTCTCTATAAGTGATATGTATTCTAAAGCCTTCTGTTTCTATGGGTAATACATGGAAGTCCCTTAAAGCTTTTATAAAGGGGAAATATTTTAAATGATTGGCACTCTGTAGGGTTGAGGCCTCTGAAATTGGGTAGAGAGAGAAGGGGTTATTGAGGTTTTTAAAAAAAAATTTTTTTTTTGCTAGTTTATTTGCTGCCTCTCATACCTTAATGTGATTTTCATATATATATTTTTATATATATGTATGTGTGTATATATAAACATATATGTATGTGTTTTGAAGTATAGCTTCTTTTTCTATTTATTAGGATAGTGCTTTAATAATTATAGAACTGTATTAGCAACATCTTTTATAGAAACATAATCATGTTTATTTTAAGAACTGACAACTTGTTTTTGCTGTCTTTTAGTGCAATAAGCAGTTTTAAGGGAAAGCTGTGTCTGTTTGACATCTTTACCACAGATAGTGGGAGAAACAGGCACCTCCATAATTTTAAAAGAGCAAAGTAATACAGCCTTAATTTCAGAAGGAAAGTTTTGTAATTTTCAAGTCTAAAGCATGTCTTTAAAAATCAAAATGAAAATGAAGGAAGTTAATATCCTAAATGAGTCTGGCCTTGAATATTAAAAGTAAAGTTGAACTTTGATTTAAGAATTGACCATGAATAGATTAAAATTTAGAAAATATTTAAATTCTTTGAAAATAAATCATGTTTATTGAGGAATCATATTGGTTAGGTACCTATTTTCATTAACTAAAATGAATCAGGAAATTGTGATATATTTTTTTAATTTTTGCCAATTTATCATGAGTGACTTTCCTTTTAAAATTAGGGTTATGGTGACAAAGGCAGTTAGGACTTCGAACATTTTAAATGAGTTAAATCACTGAAATGTGGGGAAAAGTTTTGGAAAACTTTCGTTTTATTGATTTCACTTTATGGTTTTAAAGAGTACTAGAAAGCTGTCAAAACCAAGTTCACCAGTAACATTGGATTCAGGAGAGCTTTGCACTTTTTAACTCAATGAAAATTGCATTTTAATTTTTTTTATTTTATTATTTTTTTTTTGCACTGGTTCATAGTATAAATATTACAGATTGTTTCCAGTGGGCATTGTTGTTAACCTTTCAGAATTCCATCTGCTCATGAAAACGAATGGATTAACTCTATAGTTCCTCTCTTACCTGATATCCACTCTTATTGCCAATTTACTGTATTTTGAGCCTAAAACCTGAGCCCATGTCCTCCAACAGGTATGAAATCTTTTGTCCTTCTGCCAGAAAACTAAGAAAGTACTGTATTTTGTATGTTTATTATATTGAGGCGTCTGAAATGCAATTTACAACACTGTCTCAAAGCTCTTTAGATGAGGTAATATTTATATAGTATGTACATTTTTTTCTCCCAACCCTCCCTCCTCCTCCTCCAAAAAATTCCTATAAAGCATATAAATATATATATATATATATATATATATATATATATAATTTTTTTTTACATTGAAACTTCACTGAGTATAATAGTCAGGAACATGAACAAGAAAAGAAAATGGTGTGTCCTCGATGGTGAAAACGTGATTGCTGTATGCTTGTTCAGAATGAGTAAAACACCTTCCTTTATCCATGGGAGCTGCACAGTTTCATGTGGGAAACTGAGAGCCCCGGGGAGAACTGTAGATGCCCTTTCCCTGTTTGCTGCTTTACCTAATTTTCAGTTACTCATTTTCACCTGCACTAGAGCGAAGCCCATAATTTAAATCTATTTGGAAGGACTTTTACAGAGGAAAGAGAAAAAAATTTTAATATAAAGCTTTACCTTTGAAGTGAGTTCCTTTTTAGGATTTCTTTCTTATAGCTTCCACATTACTAGTTTTAAGGTTGGTTGATTTAAAAGAATGTGTATAGTATTATTTCTATTTTGCTTACTAACAAATTGGTATATCAAACTTAATTATAAGAAATCTGCTTAGAATTTTAAGATAAAAGTAAGAGGCAAATACTTTTTGAAATTGGTTTTCATTATTATTGCACTTCTGGCATCGAATCCATGATCTTCTATTATTTTTATTTTTAAAAAGCTGTTTTGAATTTAATGGCCATGAAACTCAAAAGGACCTTTCTGTCCCTGCCCTTGCTCACTAACTATATCATGAATGCTAAATTTGGTCTGTTGTTTTCTGTGATGTATAAGAATGACTTTAAAATGTCAGTCCCAGCAACTGGTATAATTGATTTTCATGTGAAGAAGAGTTGGGAGTTTAATGTATATTTTGGATAGCAAATGTGTCTATGTGAAGTGCTGATAGGTATTATTATATTACAGTATCAAGTTACTGGCATTAAGGACCATACATTTATAACACTGTAGCTGCTATATTTATTTAAATAGAGTCTGACAGTTACTGCACTAAACAATAAGGAAATGAGCACCATTCAAGGCTAGTGTTAGACACCCCCCCTCTTTTTTTCCCCCCTAAATAAGATTAAGAACATGAAATACCAAGGTAGCAAAGGGTGCTGCCATTTAAGTTTCAATTTAATATCAGGATACGCTTTTGTTGTAGACATGTGGAATTTTACTTTAGCAGTTTTGAAAAAGGGTACCTCAACCTTCTCAGTACTGGTTTTTGGCGTATTTTCACAGACGTAAAGATGCCCTTTATTTTTTCTTAATATTTTACCTTTTAACAAGTTTCTCAGAAAAAAATATTCTTGTATGGAAAGCTTCCTATTTGTAACCTATTAATTTATTTCTCTTCCTAGAAGAGAGCCTAGAAGGGATTCTAGGAGGAATGGTCTGGGTGTTCTGGAAGGTACTTGGTTAAGATTCATCTCTAAACTCTAGCACAAGGACTTCTAACCTTCTAAAGATCTATACCAGTTTTCCATACTAGGTTCCCTAATGACCCACCACTGCCTAATGTTTACTTGTATATTTATACTAAAACAGATTTTCGTATGACAGACCTCATGACAGACTCAGCCATGACAGACTGAAGGTCTGTCTTGGGAATAAAAGCTGAGTTGCCATTCAGTAAAAATGGCTGGCAGAGGATCTCAGCGTTTAAGGAAACGGTGAACACTCAGAGTGCCAGTAGCAGATCTGAAGTAGTTAGACGGACTGTAGACCAGGAATTAGCGACCATTATTTAAGGAATTGGGTGGATGTTTTCAGAGGGTAAATTGAATTTGCCAAGAGTGTTAATTTTTATAAAATTGATGAAGCCAGCCACTTAGATTTAGCTAGAATATTTTGTAGTCTTGCTATTTTAGACTTAATAGTAATATTTTGCTAAGGAGCTTAACTGACAACTCTGCATAATTTTTATTCAGTATCATAAAACCTGAGTTAAATATTTGCTTCACTCATCATCTTAGATATTCTCCTATTGACTACTTTTAAAGATAGTTTGCCCCTAACAGTAACTTGCTACTTAAATTACCTTTTATGAATTATCAGTCAGGCTTCATTGGCCTAGCATCTTTATTTTGGCTTTTTTATCCCTATGAAGTTTTAATCCTTTTCGTTCTTTCTGAAATTCATACATGTCTTAAAGCTTCAATAATACTAGTTGGGAGACTTGATATTAAGTGAGGCCTTCCTAAGTAGCAGTATAACCCTGACTCTAGGGTCTGTCTTTATTTTCCTATTTCCCTCCCATTTGATTATGTAAAGTACTTTTGTGATTCTATAGGAGTTCAAAAATAAGCCAAGAAGAATGGGCAAAATCAGTACTACAGAAATGTGAGAGTTCTCTCAAAAAAATATATTATTTTTTAAAATTCCTGCTTATACTAAGAACAGTCTTGATCAGTGGCACTGTTAGAAATGATACTGTGATTAGGGAAACCTAAGCCAACTCCTAGGAGGAAAAAAAACCAGTCTCTCTCTCTCCATATATATATATGTAAATCTCACAAAGGGAAACACTATTTTTTACTTTTTCCTACTTTTAAAAATGGTACATTTCAGTCTATAGTTTTCCATGTCAGTCAAAATAATTTCTTTTAACTGAGATATAATGGTCAAGGCTTGTGTAAGATTATCTACTGCTAGATTTTATTTTTGAATTTTATTTTTCTTTACTCGTCAAAGACAGCACTCTAGATTTTTATATTGTTGATTAAGTCTCAAGACTCTTTTGCTCTTCAAAGAAAGTTAAGGGAACTTAAATGGAAGTTAAAGGTTATAATTTGAATTAAAGATAGAAAGATAATAAATTTGATATGAAGCGTTGCGATTTACCAATGAGAAAGAAACCTGTTGAAGTATCAGGTAACAAACTGTGACAAAATTAAGATCCTATTAAATCATATGCCCAGCCATTGGCCTCCTTTCCTTTTTGAAATCAGTGTCTGAGGTAACCAAAATCTAATGTTGTATCCATGTTAGGGTCTCAGTAAAGCAGGATGTTCTTCAGGGTAGAGGCTGAATTAAATTTTTTAATCATTTTTTTAAAGCAAGGTGGTTCTTGGAAAGTGCCTTTTCAGAAGATGGTGCTGTAGATTTTTATTTTTCAAATAGCATGAGACTAAACATTTAAAAGATAAATTATTTTAGAACTCCAAGAGTGTGACAGTTGCATATAAATAATGTTTATTTGTTGTCTTGAACTTGGTCCAAGGGAACGAAGTAAAGCTTTTTTCAGTCAAGTATCTAGGTAAATGCTCACCAAATGTATTTTGTAAGTTTGAAAACAAAATTTTTAACGCTTTCAGTTCTCAGCTATGTTGAAGGTAATCTATAAGGCACCTAAAATAGCAAATCTGCTTAACTTTTTAACAAGAGCGTGGGTAAAGCAGCAAGTGCCCAAAGGGAGAGGTAACTTGCCAGGAATTATGTCATAAGCTACCTTTCCTTCTTGACCTCCCGTCCCACCCCCAGCATAGATTGACCCTTTTGTAAATACCTATTGGCAATCTTTTCTAAATAATCTTTATTAAAGAAGACTGCTTATACAAGGAGAGTCAAGTCATCATGGAAATCAGTTTTAAACAAAAAGCAAAATGACTATATCTCTATCTTTAGGGAAGTTTTCTTTTTTTAAGAAACAAGAAATAGTTTAAATGATTCTCTCTTCTTTCTAGTATGGGGCAACTATGAAAAACAATGACAGTGCATCTAAAAGGGTATGATCGTTTCATTAGCAATAGAACTTGCAAAATTGGGCTTTGGAGGAAATAAGCAAATGGAAGGATAATAGCAGGACTATGCATACTTATTAGAAATTTCATAATCTACCACAAAGCAATTTTCTCCCAAGCTAGGAAGCAGTTAGTGATCACCTGACTAGTTCTTGCTTGTGAATTTGGTGAGCATTCCTCCAGAAAAGAATAGACTAAAAACAAACAAAAAACACCACACCTCAGTAACCTTGTTATGCTGCATTATGTAATAATGATAGTAAAATTATATTGATTGTTTGGAGTGTACTGTGTCTTTTTGCAAATATACATGCACATTAAACTTTTTCATTTTTTATAGTGTCTTAATAGCAATTACGAGTTTATTTTTTTAATAATTAATTTTTGTATTGTGATGTTTGTATTTATTGGCATTGTGTGTGCAACTTTTATATTTTGCTTAGATGTTGGTTTTAAGGTATTTTATTTTTTATAGATATTTCTAGCTTTTCCTCTTTCTTTGTAATATTAGCAAAGACTAAGATGGAATATTAATATACCAACCAAACTACTAATTCTATAAAGTCTATAGAGTTTGGATTTTTACCAATAAACCATTAACACGATTTTCTAACTTAGAATATTTAATGTTGTTTATATAGTGGGCATTAAAGAAAGTCTTTAGACAGATTTCTAAATGGGGGGGGGGCTTTTCTGTAAGTTCGATTTCTTTCCCTTAACAAATTGGATTAATTTTACCTAATCGGCAGTTTTGGGGCAACTTGTCAACTAAATACTTGTTACATTTCTTTTTTTAACTTCAGTTACATTGAAACTATTGTACTTACATGGTCACATCATCCAGCATTAGGATTATGATACCCTTTTCATAGGCCTGTAAAACAAATAGCAAATGATTCAGAAGTCATTGATAATTAACTTTGAAATGGGATTCTCCCCTCCCCCCGTAATTATAGTACATGGAAGATTTGCTTCCCTGATCATTTCCCTAGCAGGCTCTAAAGTTGATTCAACCCTAAGCATCAGTGAAGAAACATAATTTAAGTTTCTATGTGAAGCCAGGGATAAAGACTGATTAATATAGTATTTCAGTTAATTTAAAATTTAACAAAGTAATAATTTATGAATGTGAATTAATTGGAAGGCAGTGAAAAGTATTATTATGGAGCATTAATTTCAAGCATATATGGTCACCCCAGTTTCCTAGTGAATAGATCAAGTTTATTTAGTATATTGCAACTAACTTTTTATAAAGGTACATGAAAAAAAGTGCATTCTCTTAAGCAAGTAAAATA